GGCCTAAAAATACCAATATTTTTCCTGTAGCGATTCTCAGTCCTTCTATCGAAGTTGTTGTTGTTGTAGCAGTATTACATATGTATTATGTATATGTAGTATTCTGCTAATCTAGTTCACGTTAAAGGTTTACAAATTCGGCTACTTTAACGACCTGTAGCCAGAGATCTTCTGGCGTGAGTTGGGTACGCCTTGGCTGTGCAATTAAAGAGGTGCAGCGTATTGTACGGGCCTGTATCACACACCGGGCAGACGTCACGCACATCTTCGTTAATTCGTGCCCAATACGAATTGAGACGACCGCACCATCCTGAACGTAATTGCGCCAAAACTACCCTGGTTTATCTAGGCAGCTGACGTTCTTCAGCTGCAATGGATGGGGGTGGACTCCGAGGACGGCATTCATCCTGTAATTGCAGATCCACACCCCAAGTGCTGCCTCCTAGCGCCTTGAGGGCCTTGTTCCTGAAATGCTCTTATGTTATAAAATAACTCTCAGACATGGACCCTGCTAAATTTTTTTTTGTTCTATTAGCTGGGTCTTTTTCTAGCTTCAAGTTTAAAAGTTCAGCTATTTCAATAGGAAAATGAGTTGAGAAAAACTTCAAAAAAACTTCGGGTGCAACCGGCTATTGAAAAAACGTGGTGTTCGGCACTTGGGCTTCAGGTTGTCTTCAAAGATAGCCTTGCCTTCGACTTAATGAATAAGACTCCGTTAAAAAAAGACTCCTTAGCTTTTAGCTTGGCTATAAAGATTTCGTGGATTTCAGCTGGTCTACAAATATTCCTTTGGCTTAGGCTGGCCTATACAGACTCTTTGGCCTTAAGCTGGTCTAAAAAACCGCATGACCTTCAGCACGTCGGGCCTTTATTTGGCTTAAAAAGACTTTGGGAGTCCCTTACCGTATCTAAGAAGGGCCCTAGACCTCCACAAATGGTCTATAAATGTTCTTATGTCTTTTGCTCCTCTGTAAAGATCCACTGGCCTTTAGTTGGTCTAAGAAGATACATTGGCCTTGAGCCCCTCAAGCAAAACTCCTAGACTCTCAGACCTTCAGTTCGTTCATAAAGACTTCCAGGCCTTCAGCTGGTCCAAAAGGACTCCTAGGCCTTCAGTTCGCCTATAAAAACTCCCAGCATTCGGCTCGACTATAAACGCCTAGGCCTTCTGCGGGATTAATATGACTCCATGATATACATCTACAGCCTATAAAGCTTCAGCCATTCAGGTCGTCTATAAAGAACTTCAGCTCGTCTATGAAGACTGCCTGACCTCAAGCTCGCCTATAAAGACTCCCTGAGGGCTACTTTCACAGGCAGTAGAAAAATATCTTCTAGAGTGAGATGGGTAGGTTTGGCATTTAAAAATGTGCTGTGCTCTTATGTTATAAACCAACTCTCAGACATGGACGCGTTAAACTTTCCCAAGACTCTTAATGGTTTTGGGACAGAACTGTGCAATACTCTGAACGCCATATTCATATTCATACACATACACATTCAATAGTCACATGTCGTCTTCTTTGCCTCGCGTATTCCTTTCAGCATCTTTCAATTTTCAAGTAAAGTAGCTGTCAATCATAACTAGGAGGCTTGTATTAAAGGGCTGCAAATGTGACACTTTTCTCTATTTATGCCATGGAGAAAAAACGCTCGTCATGTTGTGCCCTGTTTGATCAAACGCATAACAGTACGTGACATCCAACTAAATGCTCGATGTCTCGTCATGTCGATCACACTCAAACCCATCGTCATAACATGTAATGACCAATAAAAGGGAATGTTGAATAGTGTGTCATACAGAAAAGTTCTATCAAAAAAACAACAACAATTATGATACAATTGCCAACGAAAAAGACACACACATGATGAAGGCAAAGCGCAATCGCTACCTGCTTTTCCGATATGTGAAAAAATACATTTTTTGTAATAAAGAATTTCTTGGCGATTACTAAAATATTAAAGGTACTTCTAATTGGTCCACACAGAATGTTCACATTTCGTGGCTATTGACGAAACAATCTAAAATGTTAGTCCTTATTAAAAAAACAATAATCCCCTGAAAATGTTTCTCATTTTGATTATAATTTCATAAATGTTTGCCTCAGGTATTGATATGTAAATGAGAATGAGTGCTACTGTAATTCACATAACAACACTATATACTACCATTATCAATTCTATGTATATTCTGTTATCGAATGAGAGTCAAATCTCTGCCCACAAACTTTAATTTTAAAAGAACAATATATGTAGATTGAAAATATGCAAACAATATTTACCTCTTTTTTATGACCAACATTTTATGATAATCACCAATAAATTGGGATTATTAAGCATATATTTCATTTTTTCTATTCATTTGTTGTTGCCCATGTACATTTTGTTATTGAACTCAATTTTATATTTACGCGGTGTTTGTTACTTCAAAATTGCAGCACACACAAAACACACCCTCGTCGTCGAAAGTAACACACACACACACTCTCAATTTAAGCACACGTACACAAATGACACATAATTTGATGATGACACGGTTCGATGTCATCGTTGACACCCTGCATTTTTCGAGAACACCATGCAAATATTCGAGTCAGCCATGCCACGATCGAACCTTAGACAATGGCACACATGAATCAAAATGGGGGATGTTGTTGGTTGTCATTGCTTTTCAAATACATAGCGCATGATAGAGTAGACAAAGTCAGTGTGTCGAAAAAAGCATAATTCATACAATTCGTCTTGTGCAGGCCTTTAGCTTGTATCCCAAAATCTAGTTTTGATTGGAGTTGTAACAAGTAAAAACCTGTAAGTTCGGCCTGCCGAACTTTGAATACCCTCCTCCATTTGGAACGAGTTTTGCAATTTCCAAAAAAATAAAATTCGAAGACAAACTTAATATAAGGTGGAGGTTATATAAACTGTCTCTTGCGTCCTTACCATTTCGATCGATGGCTAAGTACTGAAGGGAGGGATGATATTGAATTTATCAGATTAAGTGATGACGAGGAAGAGGTGGAAAATATTGAGCATATATTGTACATCCGTTCAAAACTTTCATACCGGAAACAATGGCTGCTGGGCTCTGATGTTATAAACCAACTTACAAACATGGACCATGTTCAACTTTCCCAAAAATCTTAATGGTTTTGAGCAGAGCTGCACAATACTCTGAACGCCAGATCTTATACATATTCAATAGTCATCTGTCGCCTGCTTTTCCCCGCGTATTCTCTTGCTGCATCTCTGCATTTCCTTGTTTCTAAGTGAAGTAGCTGTCAATCATACCTGGAAAGCAAGTATGCCTAAATATATGCCATACATAGCATTGAGGGTATATTATGTTCGTTATTCCGTTTGTAACTCATCGAAATAATAATTTAAGACCCTACAGAGTATATATATTCTCGATCAGCGTAAAATTCTAAGACGATTTAGTCCTGTACGTATGTCCGTCTGTTGTAATCACGCTACGTTCAAAACGAATTGTTCAACGGAATTGTCTAAAAATTCACACAAGGAGTTGCATGTGAGTACTTTATCCCCTAGCAGAGAATTGTCTATATAGGTCCACGATATCGTGTAGTCCCCATATAAATTTACCCCCCGATATTCGGTATTTTGATGATTTCAGCTAAATTTGTCAATGGAATTGTCATAAAATCCACAAAAATAGTTCCTTGTGGGTACATTACCCCTTGGATGAGATTTGTCTATATACAGGGTGAGATGAAAAAACTGCAACCAAATTCAGACTGATGTAATTTCTAAGCCACTCGTCCGACAGCTGTTAAAATTATTCCAGTGACAGCTCATTATATTGTTTACAAGCGTGAGAATTTTCCAGGAAAAATGTTATTCGTGATGGAATTTAAGCGTGATAGTGTGATTTCTTTATATTTGGCTGGAAAACCGCTCTAGCATTTAAATGTCAATAAATCGTTTGTGTCTCGTACTATCGCTCGTTACCGTGATGCTGGTAGCCCGTAGCCCGACGTCAAGGAACTGGACGGAAGAAAAAAGCAACATCAGCAGAAATTGATCGAAACCCACGTCACAGTAGCCGAACATATTGCAATATTCCATTCGGCAAATATTGAAAAATGAGCTCGCGGTTAAGCCACTGAAATTCCAAAACGTGCAAGGGCTTACACCACAACAGAAAGAACATAGATTGAAAAGAGCTAATAAGTTGCTTCGCTTGGCCGAAAGTGGTGAACTGCCGAATTTGGTTTTCTCCGATGAGAAAACATTCGTTGTCCAGCAATTTGTAAACAAACAAAATGATCGTGTTTACTTGCCAAAGAGGTCAGCTGAAAACTAAAAATGTGCATCTTCGGTTGCCCACCAGAACTCAAGCGCCGGCCATGGTGATGCCGCCATAACAGCCGACGGTCGCTCTCCGCTCGTAATAATCGACCGTGGCATCAGAATAAATGCCGAATATTATCGTGAAAATATTCTGAAGGATGTATTAAAGCCTTGGGCACGCAAAGATTTTGGCCGCAGACCTTGGACATTCCAACAGGACTCAGCACCATCGCTCTCAGCACGCGCCACCAAAGAATGGTTACAAAATAAGCTTCCTCGCTTCATTTCCAGCTCCACCGAAATGTCCGGATGCCAATACGTTGAACTATTGTGTCTGGAGTATGTTGGAAAGCAAGGTTGGCGCTAAAAAATACCAAAGTGTCGATCACCTCAAGCAAGCGCTTCGCCGGGAATGGGCCAAAATACCGCAGAGCAACATTCAAGCAGCGTATGACGGTTTCATTGGCCGTTTGAATAATTGGTAATTCGTGTCAAAGGTGAACAATTCGAACAAATCTAAACTTATTCTAAAATTTAAAAGCTATTTCCGACATTTTTAGCTTTCATTCAATAAATTTAAAAAAAATGTAAAAATTATGGCGTTTGACCTTGTTGCAGTTTTTTTATCTCATCCTGTATTTTTAAATTGTTCTTTTCCTCAATCTGATATAATACAAATTACATTCCGCTTTTGTTTTTCTTTTTCCAGTTAAGGGCTTTATTTATTTATAATAATTACGATTTTGTTCTTTAAAGATACATGATTTGTTTCTTGGTTTTTCTATTCGTTTTAAATTAAGGCCAATTTAAAAATTGATATCTTTGCTTTACACAGTTGTGAATAATAATTTATAAAATCATATATTTTTATGTATTGTATTTGTTATAGGCAATATAATTAGAAAAAAAAAAGAACTATGACATTGTAATCAATTATTAAACTAATTTCGGTAGCCGACGATATAAATGTTTTGGCATAACGAAGAAGATCCAGGAAGATTATAGAAATCATTATTAAACAAAACAACTCACGTTGAGAGCGAAAAGAAAAAATTTACACATTTGGTGTTGTAGTTTTTGTAAAACAAAATTTAATACTACAAAAAAAAAATAAAACATAAATGATTAATATGAGTGTAGATTGGATAAAATAAAAAAATAAATGGTACACAAAAAATACTAAGAAAATAAAATAATAATAATAATGATAAACTCTAATATGAAGGGGATAGCTAATAAAATCTATTATAAAAAATTGAAACATGTTTTTTGGCTAAATAAAAAAGAAACAGGGATAGGGAATTTTATTTTCGTATTCAGTGGAAATAAAACAAAGCCTATACAAGAAAATTTTGAAACTAAAAAAATAAAAATAGAAGCAAAGTGTGGTTTTAATTTACATTCTTAGGCGTTAACACACGACCATTGTCCCCATGAACTTTCCAACCGCATTTCTGTTTTTCCTTTTTTACTTCTTACAATGATACGAGAGTTTAAGGAAAAAAACGAAAATAAAAAGAGAAATAAAAATTATTATAAAAGTAGATTGAAATAAAAAACGGCTATTCTACTCCATTTTTTCTGCATACTTCATTCGCTTAGAAGCTCATATAACCACGAGAAGTAGAACGACGACGAGCACACAAATATGAGATCAAAACAATCAAAATCAAAGCACCCAATGCGATGCCAACAGCAATTGGTGCAACATCTGAAGTCTCGGAACTGTCACAATCACGAGCGGTAGAGAAACCGGTAGCACCAGCCGCACGGAAGGCTTCTACTTGGACATCGTGCACTTTGGCAACACCAACCACTTGCGAGTCGATGGTCTCAGTCAAATTCAAATATTGTGGACGGGTACAGTGATAGGACATCTTCAATGGAGCACTGAATTCATTGGAGCGATGTATCAATTGTACGGTTTGGTTTTCTGGAAAAAGAGAAATGTGGTGTAATTATTATTAATTATAATTATTGTAAAAGACATTTTTAAAAATAAACTAGAGCAACAAAACCAGGATTGTTTTTACACCCTCGACCATGATTTGTCAATTATTTTTTATTGTAGTGTTTGTCGGCAACAGTATCCTAAACGGGTTACATAGGCGCTTTGCCTTCATCTTACTAAAAACACTCCTTAGCTTTTAGCTTGGCTATAAAGACTTCGTGGATTTCAGCTGGTCTACAAATATTCCTTGGGCTTAGGCCTTAATTTGGTCTAAAAAACGCATGGCCTTCAGCACGTCGGGCCTTTAGCTGGTTTAAAAAGACTGGGATTCCGATCAAAAAAACCCGTCTATAAAGGTTCTTATGTCTTTTGCTCGTCTGTAAAGACCCACTGGCCTTTAGAAAAACTCCTAGACTCCCTGGCCTTCAGCTCGTCTATAAAGCCACCCTGGCCTTCAGCTCGTCTATAAAGACTCCCTGGCCTTCAGCTCGTCTATCAAGACTCCCTGGCCTTCAGCTCGTCTATAAAGACTCCCTGGCCTTCAGTTCGTCTATAAAGACTCCCTGGCCTTCAGGTCGTCTATAAAGACTCTTTGGGCTTCAGTTCGTTTATAAAGACTACCAGGCCTTCGGCTCGCCCGAAAGGCTACATTTACAGAAAGTAGTCTGCAGTGAGATGGCTAGGTTTGGTATTTAAAAATAGGCTGTGTAGTGTGGGGGCCTGTACTTAACGCTGGGCAGACATTTTGCACATATTCATGGGTTGAAACTTCTGTACAATCATACGTAGTTGAGCCAACACTACCATATGATGTCTTTCTGCTGCAATGGATAGGTAAAAAGCTCTCTTATATCATTGGACCTTCCTCTCTAGATAATGCAGGTCTTTCCTGACATATAAAGATTTAGATGACTCACACGGTAGCACCCAAGCAGGTACTGTAACGAAAGAAAATGTTTATAAAGACATTAGGGAAGAACCTTCGCCCCCTTATGTAAATGATCCAGACTCGTGAGGGGACACCCTGCTACAGTTCTTGGGCGGCATTCTGACAGGTCTCCATTGTATTGCACTAATGTTCGTAGACCACTTAAAAGCTGCATAACTAACCATAGACCGACCTATTGATATGATGAACAAGATATTATAGTCTGCGACCCAAATGCTGCCGCTTAGCGCAATGAGGAACTTGTTCCTACTATTCAATTTGTCACAGATGTTTTCGAATGTGATCCCTAAGCTCTTGGGGTAGTGCTATGAATTCTGCGCCCCTCAACCTCTACATTCAGCTGTTTTCTCATATCCGAAGAACATGTGAATAAAAGTGTAGCCGTTGATTTATTTGCGGATAATTTCATATTCCCCTCGTGAAAGACGACAAACGCTAGGACGACTGGACCCAACGTTATGATCGTACAGTCGTCCGCATAAGTAACGATCTCATTACTGTCTGCAGATCGCTGAATATCACATCAACTTGGGGAATTCCCTGTTTCACTCTTGGGGGTTTGGACTTATTCTTCCGAATAATTATCAAGAGTTTTAATTATCAAAAGTTTCATACTCGGCCGGAGGGTAGCATTCTCGACACCCTCGAACAGTGTGGCGTGATTTTATGTATCAAAGGCCTTTGAAAACTGATGAGCCACAAGTACTGTTCTATGGCACAGCCTGTTCTTGTTGAAACTTCTACTAATATTTGTGCAAACGGCGTGTACTGCTGTTGTGGTACTGTGTTGATGACGGAAACCATTCTAATGCTGGGGAGGACTAAGGCTTCAAAAGTATTTGCTGCTGGCGACAAAATCGAAATCGCCCGCTATATTCATGTTTTAGTTGTAGGTTGGTGTGCCTATTCAGGAATTCATTTAAAGAAACCTATCGATAATAATGGGTTCTGCGTCTAAGAAAATCGTTAGACTTACTATCTCTCCCCTATCAAAAAGCCCCATATGTCTCTGGGGAAAAACCCTTATGTTACCGACGGCAAAAGCGAAATCGATTTATATGTTCCTGTTTTAGTAGTAGGATAATGTGCCTAGGCAGAAGATGCTTTTGGTACATCCCATAGATGATAATAGGGTCTGAGTCTCAAAGAACGTTAATGTTGATATCTCTCATCTACGAAAAATCATACGTCTCATGTTGTATAACAGTCTTAAGCCCTAGGGAGGAGTAAAGCCTTAAGAATATTTGTTACTGGCGACAAAAGCGAAAGTGCCTAGTCAGGAGATGATTCAAAGAAACCTATTGTTGGTGATGGAATCTTAGAGCATTACTACCTCCCACCTATCATAAAGCTTATGTCTCCTGTTTGGCAACAGCCTTATGTCCCATATGTCTCCGGGAGAGGAGTAAAGCCTGAAGAGTCTTTGGATTGGTGACACAATCGGTTCGGATTTTGGTAGTAGGTTGATGTGACTGGGTCGAAAATGCTTTTGTCAAACCTATAAATGATGATGGGATCGACGTCTGTGATTTTTAGGTATCTATCTTAGCAGAGTTACACATGAATATGAGCCCTCCTCATATATATCTCTCTAAAAATAACTCAAGCCACATAGGTCTGTAATAAACATAACTGTGCTTTTAGAGGTAATATACTTTTAAGTTTACAACTTATATGAAGGTCTAGATACATAAAATGATTTTTTCTCGCATAAGCCATAGGCTGGTTTTCTAGGTAAAATTATGGGCTTAATTAAGAGAGGCAACTATGAATTCCATCGGTTTTTAACAATAAAATCCAGCAGATAAATTATGTCAGAAGAAAAACTCCTCTTGTGTGTTAAAACCTTATTAAAATCCATATTTTATAGAGTTAATCCCTTTAACTCAATTCCTTCCAGACAGGAAAAAAACGTATACTCCTATCTCGATCTTCCTCCTTCCAATCCAACTCACCTTTAGCATCTGGGAAGGTGGTGTTCAACAATGGCAAGGTAAACATAATCATTGTCATGTTGGTCGTGCCATTGCCACGTTCGAAATTCATCACCATAATGTGTTGAGCATCGGCTGGACCCCAATTGATTTGCATAGATTCTGTGGTATTTTTATCACAGTCTACATGATCGACGACGGCATCCTTGGGAATGTTATACAAGCCATAGACCATTTTATTATCTGGGAAAGAAAAGATGTTCTATTATTGTCATTATCAATTTGATCGATTATCCCTTACCTTTGGTTTCATAAGTGAAATTCAATTGAACTGCCATTTTGACCATAATACATGTAGAGTTCCATGTTGCCACATCGGGTTGAGGATATGGTTTTGGGGGTTCAGGCTTAGCTGTGGTGGTGGTGACTGGAGCTTCTGTTGTGGGTGTAGTTGTATCGGGTGCACTTGTAGTGGTCGTGGGAGCAGCTGTGGTTGTTGTTGTGGTGGTCGTAGATGTAGTAGTTGGAGCTGCAGTAGTTGTAGTTGTAGTGGTCGTGGTGGTGGTGGTGGAAGTTGAGCTAGTGCTTGTTGTTGTTGTCTTATGCTTCTCAGGCAAAATTGTCGATGAAGGTACCTCAGCTTTGCTCAAATTTACGCTCATTTGAGCCGCTAAAAATTTAAGGAGAAAGGAAAAAATGATTAGAAATTTATTAGGTAAATGATAAAGTGTCAAATATAGAAAGCTAAGAAAATCGACAAAGAAATCATTAAACAATTTGTCGATTTTTGGCTCAAAGGAATGGGTAAACTAGTGGGCAGCAGTGTGGTAGGGCAATATAACTTATTGCAGGGACGATTAGATTTTTATTTCACACCCACCAATTTTGGCCTACTAATTCTCTTCAATAAGAAGTTAAATAGTATCAGTTGGTTTTGCCGACAGATGTATACCCCCAGACTTGACTTATGATTATTCCAACTGTGGGGGAGGTTACGAAGCAGTTGGCCGATATTGTTCAATTCGTTGCGGACCTAAGACTGATATAAATACTACAACGTGCCATATTTGAATATCAGATTTCTGGCTAAGTAAAATATTTAGATATAGCAAGTTATAATCGCCGACTTGTTTCGCAAGTTATGACAGATATAAGTATAGGAAATTGTGACCCTTTGAGGTTGAGGTACCAGAACGGGTTGGCAGATATCTACCATCTTCACATCAGATTTTGCGTTAGCAAAAATGTTTGAATGTCTGAAATTTGAAGACAGTTGTATGCTTATTTCGGGTTTTATTAGCATTTTGTTTTCCAAAATTTTGAACCCTTTGATGGAAGTAGCCGAAAAAGTGCGTCGATTTATCCCATTTCACAGTAAATCTTGTATTAGTAAAAATAAGGGGATGTATGAAATTTGAAGAGAACCGGGTGCTTATTTCGGATTTTATTATCGTTTTGGTTTGGAATGGTCCGATCTCTACCACCTTTATAAAAGATCTCGTGTTTACGGATATATTGAGATGTGCTAAGACTGAATGGAATCGGATGTTAATTTCACGTCTACTGACCTCCATAGATATTCAAAATTTTGACCCTTTGTGGGTGAGGTACCAGAAGGAGTGGGCCGATATATTCCACCTTCGCACCTGACCTTGGATTAATAAAAATATTGTGTTTTGTGTAATTTGAAGACAATCGGACTCTTACATTACATTTTATTAGAGTTATAATTATTCAAAATGTTGGCCCTTTGTGGTGAAGGTATTTATGGAGTGGACCGATATTGTCCATTTTCGCACCTGACCTAGCACTGATGCAAATATTAGGATTTGCAAAGTTGGAGCAAAATCGGATTATCCTTTCTCTTTCTGGGCAGTTAATTATTTTTAACATTTCGTGGAGGAGGTTCCAGAAGGAATGGACTGATATATCCCATCTTCACAACAGACTTCAGGTTAATAAAACTATTGTGAGGTGCATAATTTGAAGAGAGCCGGATGCTTATTTCGGACTTTATGATCGTTTTGGTTATTCAAAACTTTGACCCTTTTGTGGGGGCGGTACCAGAAGGGATAATTGTGTTATGGAAATATTTAGATATGCCAATCGGATGTTAATTTCGTGTTTTATGAGCTTCATGAATATTCGCACCAGCTAGCCAGAGAGATGTACGGACGGACGGACATCTCTAGATCGACTCCAAATGTCCTGAAACGGAATTCTTCCAAAGATACCTTGGGTCGATGAGGCACGTTTTTGCCGTATCAAATGATATATACTCTATATAGCCATATGGCCGAGGGTATAAAAATACATGTGGCTGATCGGGTTTGATGATTTTATGTACGGAAGGAGAAGAAACTATTTACCCAAAAGGTATCTATCCAATTCTAAATTTCCGCCACAAGCAAACATTTAAAATTGGGCCCTAAAGTTTTGATCTTAACGAAAGGAATATAAGCTTGCAAAACCACCCTAAAATATTTAAATAAGCCAAATGCTCTAAAGGTTATCCCCGAAAAGGGGCCAATTATTGAATTACGCGGCAAATTCAATAATGAATCGGGCGGCAAATTCTTTTATGTTTTTCAAATCAATAATCAAATTGAACTTTTGTTCAGTCCTTCAGTGAAACATCTGATTGGAGAGGTGCATACATATATATCAGGCCCATATTAAAGCCACAAGGGTCGTTTATTATTCAATAGTTAATTTATAAAATTGATAATTGCCAAGATGACAACAAAAAACATAAGCACACAAAAAAAATCACAATAACTTATACAAATTAAAATAATAATTTGTCATTAATCCAAATGATAAGAAATATTGAAACAATATATATATATATATATATATATATATATATATATATATATATATATATATATATATATATATATATATATATATATATATATATATATATAAAATTGGAAACAACAATGTTATAGGATGATGTGGGATGACGAAGGAAGCACCAACATATCCAGATAATTCCAACAAAACAAATATATACAATTTTAAAATATTAAATTTCCAAACACACAAAGTTTATCTTCACATACACACACTGTAAACAATTGCATTTAAGCTATGACTCATTGCTTTTCATTGCCCTGCTGCTTTGTTGAAAGGGTAAATTTACTGTGACACACACACAAAATCACTTACAATTTTGTTTATTGCGATTATTTGGCTGATGATGCATAAAGAAGTTTAATCGCGTTTTACAAAAAAAAAAAAGTTCGCTAATAATCACAAAACGAAAACAAAACAAAAACACTACTGGTTGCCAAGTACAAAAGGAAGCTTAAAAGCAAAACCAAAGTATATCGCATTATAATAAACGGCAGCAATGAATGTAATTTGAAACCAAAATCTTGGCAAATTATTTAAAATGGCCAGACTTGGAAATAGAGCACAATTGCATTAATTTTAGTGTTGTTATTATTTTCATTTGAATTGGACTTTAACCTCCGGACAATGGCAAATGTGTTAAACTGTCGAAAGCTCGACCTTCTCTCTGATAGATTTTATAAAATAGAATTTTTATCCAAAATTAATATAACAACCAATGCACATTCATATTCATATTGCATTGCAGCCCATATCCCCACCTTAATTTAGAAGAGAACAGCACCAGAATAGGCCCTGACTTATGGAAGACTTTCGATATAATAGCTTATAACGACAAGCTGGTTAGGGGTGTCGAGAGTATTACTTTCCAGACAAATTTAATTGATTATCCAACGTAATCAATTATATGTGTGGACATCAATCATACCTGGAATTGCGGATCAAGAAGTTCAATACCCGTAGAGTGAAACCCCTGTTTAACCTCAGCCTTTTCGGAATTCCTCGACTTCCAGGCGGCATTGAGTTCGATATCTATGCGGATCAGACGATGACATATTTGAGAGGTTTAAAACCTATCTCATGGAATATAAAAATATTCGCCACTTAGTAAACGGCTAATAGAAGGCATTTGATACGGTCAATCATGCCATACTGTTTGAGAACGTGCAGAGAACCATCCACCGGCCAAGTTTGAATCGTTGGATAATCAACTATATGTGTGGCCGCCAGTCGTACGTCGAATTCCGGAACAAGAAGCCCAAAGACCATAGAGTGAAACAGGGAGTTCCCCAAGGTGGGGTGATATCTGGGGAACTGTTTAACCTCCGCCTTTCCGGAATTCCTTGCCCTCCAGACGGCATAGAGATCGTAACGTATGCGAATGATTGTACGATCATGGCGTCAGGCCCAGTGGTCGATGACATATGTGAAAGGCTGAACCCCTATCTCGCCGAGCTTGCCGCATACTTCCACCCGAGAAATATGAAAATATTCGCCACGAAATCAAAATCGGTCACAATCTTTAACACATGGTCTGCGGAGATGAGAACACAGCAGGCCGAGGGGAATTTAATACCGACCACGAGCTACCCCAAGATTCTAGGGGTCACATGTTCAAGTCGTCCGCGCAAGCCACAGCTATCTGTGACAAGATGAAAAGTAGGAACACGGTCCTCAAGGCGCTAGCCGGCAGCACTTGGGGTGCGGACAAATAAACCTTGTTGACCAGGTCTGAGTGGCAGTCATATCGATGCAGTCGCGGATGCTATTAGCGGCTATAAAATGAATGCCGTCATCGGAGTCCACCCCCCATCCATTTCAGCTGAAGAACGTCAGCTGCCTAGACAAACCAGGGTAGTTCTGGCGCAATTACGTTCAGGATGGTGTAGTCGTCTCAATTCGTATTGGGCACGAATTGATGAAGATGTGCATGAAGCCTGCCCGGCGTGTGATACAGGCCCGCACAATACGCTGCACCTCTTTAATTGCACATCCAAACCTACCCAACTCACTCCAGAAGATCTCTGGCTACAGCCCATTAAAGTAGCCGAATTTCTAAACCTGGAGCTGGGAACAGATTAGCAGAACGCAAACACTTGCATGTACTACTGCTACAACAACAACTAAAACACCCCTACAAACTGTTTGTGTTACCGTGGGAGTCATACAAACCACCATATTGGGAATAAAACTTCTGCACCCAGGCGTGTCAGGAAGGAACTATACATACGCCATACCTCAGGTCGACTTACAGACCCTCAACGAGAGCATAAACCCTATAAGAGATCTGAGAAACAAGAAAACGTACAGCAAAGAAGACTCTTCTGCTAAACCAAAAAGGGCAATTATTTCCTTTATGCACGGAGAGCAACCTGGCCTTGATTGTATGCCACTAGAAAAGGAATTTATAGGTCAGAACAAGTACATCCAGTGTACGACTTGTAGTCTAAGCTCCCAAATCTTCCTTACAATGTTCCTACATGAATAGAGTGCAACTATGTCCCCTTTTCGTGCACTCCTCGATGTTTCTGTCCCAGTATTCCTCTCCGACGAAGTTTTGTTTGTAGCTGTAATCCTAACATCTTCGCGGATGGTTTAACTGAAGTCCTCTCTTTGGCACTCAGATGGGGTCAAACGTTGATGGGGGCAGTACGACAAGCAAAATTGACGATGCCGTCTTCCAGCGGCAAGGCGTTCTCAGAGAACTTGAGGTGTAAAGGATTCCGCCATAAATCAAGAGGCCAAAAGTAGAAGGGGCTAGTGTGCAAAAAATTATCGACCACGGGTTTTCAATGTTTATAGAGAGGGAGA